TGTATTTCTATATTTTATTTCACAAGTTCAGATGATAGCCGTTCTTATTAGAGTTTAACTTAGAGACGTTTTTTGCTTTAGTACAGTATGTATTTAATGTCGTGATTTAACAACTGTATGGGCCTCTCTATAGCTATGTTTTACGGTGTATATTTCATTATCTTCTTTTTAAGAGTAAAAGATTAATCATTACATCATTTTCATTCCACATTCGTATTTAACTTATACAAACTTTAATATACTTTTAATTTATTACAGATTATGCGAATCATGGTCGTGATCACCATAGAACATCATATAAAACGATGTAATTTTTTTTTTTTTAGGGCGGGTCAATAAAAAAGGGTGAAGTGGGTCAAAAATAATGTTTTTACGTTCTACAAAAAAAAAAAAAAAAAAGTTAATATAAGTTTTAAAAAATAAATATAACGCTTTGTCTCGATTTAGATACCTCAAAAGCAATAAAATTTTAGAATATTGTATAATACAACTATAATCGAATGGAGATATCTAGATCGTATAGCATACTAATATATTTATAGTTTGACTTACCCATTCCTAATCCTTGACTATTTCTGTATATGGTGATTCTCGAGCGATCATGTGCCAAAAGAGAGCAAACCCATTTACTAACTTCAGGTTTATTTCTTTGTATATATTAACACCCTTGTCGAAAGTCACCATATAAAAGAATATTCTGTCTAAGAGGGATGCAGAAAATAGCTGACGTGATGGCTGCTGTTGAACCATAACATAGATATAGTCCAACAGCTGGCCTTTATCTTCGTCAGTTAAGCCGAACGCACATTTTCATCGCTTTATCCTAGTACAGTACATCCTTGTTAAAGACACTTATTTCAGGCATGTAGGTACCCAAACGTGTCCACAGCAGTTGCCGACATCCATTGATCATTTGAAACCCTATCAACCCGTTAAACCACGCCTGAACATCCTCTTTTGAATTTTTATCTGGCTTTTTACTTTTCGCCAAATAGTTTCGAAGACGTTCCGATAATGGCTCACTAGGAAGATAGAGGAATTCATCACTCTTAACGTTCCTAATGCTTGCGCCTTTGTAAGCTTCGGAACGTGTTATAGAGTCTATAAAATATCAAAATTAATAAAATTAATAAAAATAAAATGACAACTATTAATACTCATTATTTAAAGCTAAATTAATCTTACATGGCAACTCCTGCTGCCTCACTAACGAGGCCGCAACTATTTCCACATCTATTCTTCTTTTTTTAGAAGAACCTGGAGAAAAACCACCCCTTGGCCGTCGTCTTGGACCAGGATGGTACTGGTCGCATCGTGGAGAGGATTTCAATCTTTTTTTTCAAATAGCTTCTAGCCGCTTTATATCACTCTATGCAAAAAACAAGAAGATATTTCAAATAGGTATGTTAGAATTGCTAGGTGTGAATGCATCAATAATCTATCCTTTGTATTACATATTGAAAAAGGCAGGTCTTTTCAAATGTTGTTTGATCACATCCATTATTGCATCTAGTCGACAAAGATGCACCCATAGAACAAATTCAATAAAGAGTAAGGTGCCTTAAAAAGTTATCTTGACTACTGTTATAGGCTAAATAGACGGAATACTACCAAAAAAAAAGGAGAAAAATGCAGCGGATTGTCGCTTGAGAAAGACAGATGTTGCGTAACCTCGGCAGTTAAAGTGAGGCGGTTTCAATTCGGCAAGGTCAAGGCAACTGGCGAGTTACGTTA